AAACAGTAAAACATTTAAGAAATAACAGTAAACAATAAGATTCTAAAATTTACACCCCTTTAAAGTTTGTTTCTATTGCAGTCCTATGTATATCATACCAATATATTCGAAAATGTATGGTATTCCTCCAATCAGATATTTCCAAGGTTAAAATTCACCGGTTATATTTTTATATTGATTTTTAAGCACATGCATGATTCAATTTACGCAGCACACATTTCTATGATTATCTAGGTAATGATAAATTTGATCACACGGTCGAATCACTTTCAAGGAACACACATTTATCGACTGGCCTTTTTAGAATGGAATGTTTGGTTTTAACTTTAATAACGCGGACACAGCCATCTTGCGCATTAGGATAAACTTCCAAGATTCGACCTAGAGGCCACGAACATCTCGGTAATTCATGATCTCCTACTAATATTATGTCACCAACGCGAAAGTTTCTCTGTTTTTCTGTCCATTTCTGGCGCTCCTGCAACAAAGGTAGATATTCTCGTGTCCAACGACGCCAAAAAACTTCCTTTTTTAATTTACCAGGTGGTAACTCCGGTCCCGATTTCAATAATAGCAGGTGGTTGGGTGTTAAAGCTTCCAAATCTTTGACGTCGTCTGAAATAGGAGTGATAGGCCGTCCGCTTATGATGCCCTCAACCTCACAAAACAAAGTCGTTAAGTTTTCATCGTCCACCAATTGATCTTTTAAAAGAGCATTTAAAACTTGTCTAATAGTCCTTATACAACGCTCCCAAGCTGCACCGAAATGGGATCCACCAGGTGGATTAAAGAACCACTTCACATTTTGTTGCAGAAATTATGAATGCTTTGTTGATTCCATTCCTTAATAGCACTTCTTAATCCTGTGTTTCCACCAATAAAGTTACTGCCGTTGTCGCTTCTGATTTTGACCGGACATCCTCTTCGAGCTATGAATCTCCGCAATCCATTTAAAAAGGAGTCGGTGTCCATGGATTGCAGAACTTCTATGTGTATAGCTCTACAAGCAAGACAAGTAAAGATACAGCCCCATCGTTTTAGTTGACTACAACCCCTTTTGACCATGAAGGGACCAAAGCAATCAACTCCGACTGACATAAATGCTGGTTTATTTGGAGTGACCCTATCCTGGCCAAATCTAACATCATTTGCTTAGCTAAAGGTGCTTGCCTTTTTTTTTACAGATGATGCATTTTAGAAGCACATTCCTTACTGCCGAATTTCCCTTGATGATCCAGAAGCGTCTTCTGATTGCTGATAGAATGTATGCCCTTCCAGAATGTGCCGATACTTCATGATAATGACAGATGATCATATCTGTTATGTGAGTTTTCTTCGGAAGAATTATTTGGTGCTTCATGTCAAAGGACTCTTCAGAACAACGAAGTCTTCCACCCACTCTTAGTATGCCTTCAACTAAAATAGGGTCTAGCTTAACTATTGAGCTGCTTTTCGAAACTCTTTTCTTCTTATCTCCTGTTTCTAATGATTTGATTTCTGGTAAGAAGCACTCTCTCTGAAGATGTTGGATTATTTCTATCTCAGCTTCTTTCATTTCTTCCACTGTCAATTTAAGAGCTCTTTCTTCTTTCACAATTCGATTTCGTCTGTTCTCATCACTCTTATGTAGTCTGTCCTTGTATCTGATTATCCATGCAGTAATCCTTTTAGTTCTGTACCATGATGAGCACCTTTCTGCCAATTTTAAAATAATATCATCTTCCTTTATCGTTGCAGCAAAACTTCTTTTTTCTTTCTTTACTTCAGAATCCTCATCCAACAGGTTATCTCTTAATTTTGGTTGCTGAACCCATTCACACTCGGGCTTCCATAGAAAATCTGGCCCTGAATAACGTTTGCTCTTCAAAAACGAAACAGCATTCATTCCTCTCGAAGCATCATCTCCAGGGTTTTCGGTTCCATTAATGAAAGCCCAATCTTCAGGATTAGACCCAGCAAGTATGAAGGAGACACGATTAGCTACAAATGTTTTAAATTGCTTATCGACATTGTGGATATACTTTAATACAGAGGTACTATCAGTCCAGTAGGTTGACTTGTTTATTGGCATGTCAAGTTCTCTAATAAGCATTCGATTGAGTCTGACCGACAGTGTTGCGGCCGATAACTCTAGCCGTGGTATAGTCATTACTTTCAGAGGAGCGACCCTTGATTTGCCTGCAATAAAACTACAATGTATTTTTCCATTTACATCAATCAATCGAATGTAACTGGCAACACCATATCCTGATTCTGAAGCATCTGAGAAGTGATGTAGCTCAGTACTTAAAACTTCGCCAAACGTTGGTGGCTTGATGCATCTACCGATAACTAAATTAGACAACTTGGGTAACTCTTCCATCCAGTTGAACCATGCAGATTGATATTTATCTGGTTCTGTATCATCCCAACCTAGACGTATTCTACACAGTTCTTGTAATATCATTTTCGCAGGTACAATAGAATCTTTCAGATCAACTTTAATGGTGAAGGAGTCGTTTTCCATATGCTCTTTCCGTGGGAAGATTATCGAAGCAAGTTGTTTCACAGCAACCGCCCGATCTTCTTGCGGGACTGACTCTAAGACTTTCATGGAGTTTGAGTTCCATTTTGTCAAGCGAAAGCCACTCCGACTTAGGAGGGATATTATACTTTGAATATGACTAATGGCTTCTTCCTCCGACTTCATCGACTTTAGATGATCGTCCACATAAAAATTTCTTTAGACAGAGTCGATCGTTTTCTGACTAAATTCCTCTTTGTTATCATCAGCTTTTCTTCTGAGCGCATAATTACAGATACTGGGTGACGATATGGCTCCAAAAATATGAACTTTCATCCGAAATTCTGTCGGTTCGGTATCCAAGTTATTCGATTTCCACCATAAAAATCTAAAGACGTCACATTGGTTTGGTGTCACCCGAACTTGGTGAAACATTGCCTCTACGTCTCCCATGACTGCTACACGTTCTTGCCTAAACCGGACAAGTACGCCGAATAAGGTATTGATCAGATCCGGACCCTGCAACAGGTTTAATGCCATGCCCTGATATTTTGCCGCACAGTCAAACACGACCCGCAATTTATCTGGCTTTTTCTGGAGGGAGCTGCTTCCAAGGTAAAGATACCTCATAATGTCCATCTTGTAATTTGGTAGTCTCTTCAATTATAGCTATAGCTTGCCTATCTTCTCTGGACATTCCAAATTCTTGATCTTCCGAATCATTGAATTCTAAATTACAAAATTTCTAAAACTGTGCGCTTAATCTATCATCAGCCTTTATAAAGTTTGAGGACCTACAATAGCTACCACCATTTTGACCTTTGATAAGCGGACCATTAGTAGACCATCCTAGAATTGTTCAAACTGCATATGGGCCCCATTTTTTGCCTCGACGATTTCCTTCGGTTCCAGAGCTTTATTATTATCCATGCCTATTATTATCTCAACACAAGCATCTATTTCGGCAATCTCGATTTCATTCAAATATGGCCATTTGGCAATATCTTCTTGTCGTGGAATATCGTCGTTATGGCAATCTCGATTTCATTCAAATATGGCCATTTGGCAATATCTTCTTGTCGTGGAATATCGTCGTTATTTACTGGTAGGTGAGGCCTAGAGAATACATTTGTCAATTCGATACCATTTTCACCCGAAAGATCAACTATTTCCAAATCTGTTTTCTGAGATTCAACTTGAGCATTAACATTACCGAGCGTAGCATTTTCGCCTTCAATTCCCATACGTTCGAGAAGACCACCCCTGCAAAATGTTCCGGTTGAACCCCAGTCTTGTAGTACGTACGCGGTGACATTGCTTGAACTTCTTCTTGACTTAACAATGACAGGGACAATAGGGAGACCCAAGGTTCTTAGAGACACTACAAATGCACTGTTTACATTCTCTATATGCAATAAAGTGGAGTGTTTACTTTTGCAAGTTGCACATGAAATGTTCTGGGGACAAAATTTGGCACGATGATTTGGATATAGACAATTAAAACAAATTCTATTTTCTGACACAAATTTTCTTCTATTTTCAACAGAGAGTTCTTTGAATTTACTGCAGTCTGAAAGTTTATGATCAGATTTACATTTTCGGACATTTAATCACATATTTAGCTTTATTCTCTTGCGTTTGGGGTGTCTCTGTAATCTTTTGTTGTTTCTTTTCTTCATCGCTGATTACTTGAGTGCCGAAATTATATTTACTATGATGATTGGATTTGTCTCCCTTTAATTTATTATTATGTTTTAATCTCTCGTGTTGATTTGAACCGCTTGATATGACTATGCTACCAAATATAGGATGACTTGATATTCTGGCTTCTTTTGTTACAAACTGTGATATGTCTAGTCTTACTTCTCTGTCATCCATCTCAGTGATGTAATCTGCTTTGGTTCTCCACTTCTTTCTGAAAGTCGTACGGTAATCGATCGATAATCTTCCTTAAGCTGTCTGGATTTTCTGCTTTACTGAGATATCCTATCTCTTTTAACGTGTTAGCACAGGCAGCGAGTTGTGTAGAAAATTGCAATAAGGCTTTTCCATCTTCTGTCTTGATATGCGGACCCTCTGTGACCTTATCAGCATGAGATGTGGCAATTCTATAATTATTACCAAATCTTTTCTTCATCAGAGAAAGGGCTTGGTTGTATCCTTGCTCTGGAGGCATAGGAAGGCAACTCTTAACAAGCTCTTGCACCTCACCAGACGTATATTGGATCAAATAATTCAACCTGGTACTGTAACATTTGGTTTTTGTTTCGATCAGATTTCTAAATGTCTTTACAAAGTTCAAATATTCTGTTGGCTCACCATCATATACAGATATTTCCGCCTTAGGCAAAGTTAATAACAATGAACTCTTGTTTTGACTATTTATCATTCTCTCCATACAGACCATCTGTCTTTCTTGAACACGCAACATTTGTTGCAAGGGATCATTTTGTTCCTGGCAATATCTTCCATTAGATTTTCGTCAATCAAATTATCCTCAATTTACAGGGTTATCTTTTTCTATATTATTGATAGTTTCTCTCTCAATGTGTTTATCAGTAGACGCAGTGACATCTTGGGCTGGACTACTGTTAACAAATTTACCGACGGTAGTAAACGATCTATTTCTGTTCTGTTCCTTTGGGTGTCCAGGTATAAATTCATTCGCAAGTGGATTCCAGTTTGACGTTGATGGGATTTCATGCCTGTAATGTTCCTTCATTGCGCTGGAATATACCATCTGTCGATCTTCTACTTGAGCTAATTCATTCCTGCATTTTAGGTATTCTTCTCTTTTAGCCAATTCCATCTCTTCCATACGTAAACGAAATCTTTGTTCTGCCAACTTCTGCTTTTCCGCTATATTTCTTAATTTAGATTCTAATGCCTTTCTTTTAGCTTCTTCTTCAACCATTTTAGCTCTGATAGAAGATCCTGAACTGCTACTTCTATCAGAATGCTTGGAACGGCTGCTACAGCCAGTTTGACAAACAGAATCACCGGATGAGATCCTTATTTGAAAATCGTCCGATTGATCTGGTCTATACTCTCAAACTGTCTGGTCCATCAAGCTATGAGTAGACAAATGAGATTCAGAACTATGGCTATCCATGTTACGTACCTCAGGGTTATTAAGTAATATATTCAACTGATATCATAGTTTTCTCCATAAATCGTAGTTGGCGTTGGAGTTCACGTCTAAATCGCTGTAGGGACCAAAATACTCATTCTACAGATAAAGTTCAAAATGTTTATTCAATGACAAAGTTTTTGATTTACAGCTTCAATGTCCGTTCCTCAGGGACAGACACACATGAAACGTCAGTTGAAGTTCAATGATTTCACTTTCCTTGGTAGTTGCTAAGTAACATTCCAACATTCTTCTCATGGTATGAATCCAATATAGCTTCATAAAATGATAATCGTTCAATAGCCTAAGCTAAGGAAGATACAGTGGGTCCAAAGGTTTAAGAAAGCGTTCAATAAAATAGAAGACAAACAAACCATTTCACAAAGTTTTTTACCACATTATAATGTGGGCGTATAAAAAGTGAAAAAAAATGAGATATCTCTCAAGAAAATCATCGGATCATCACCAAATTCAATAGTGCACATCTTCATAATGATATTGACACACATACAGTTTTTTACCACATTATAATGTGGGCGTATAAAAAGTGAAAAAAAATGAGATATCTCTCAAGAAAATCATCGGATCATCACCAAATTCAATAGTGCACATCTTCATAATGATATTGACACACATACAAAAGATCAAAAGAATCAATAGAGAATTGTAGTCTGTAGAGTGAGCACAAGCCAATAAAGTGAAGAAAAAAAACAAATGCGATATCAGAGTTTTATGCGATATCATTTGAGAAAATCATCAGATCATCACCAAATTCAAGTGCACATCTTCATAATGATATTGACACACATACAAAAAGATCAAGATAGCTTGCCTGGCAAGGTAATATACGCCCACTGGCAGCTTTGATTTTGAACATAAATATTTAGCAGTACAGTAACAATCACCAGTATGAAATATTCAACCTTCAGTTATACACTTCTTTAGAACTCTTTAGGGTGATAACGAATAACATTGAGTATGAGTTATTGCCCTTGTTCTTGAAAACGTGTTCAATTTTTAGCTCATGAAAACTTTAGAAGGCAAATATTCAATCTTCAGTGCGGGACTGAATAATAAAAGCAAGTTTTGTCAAAATCCAGCAACAATTATGCCTTTTAGTGTTTAAGAGCTAAATTTGAAAGCGTTTTCAAGAACAAGGGCAGTAACTCATACTAAATATTTTTCATTTCTATGATTTTCAATAGGGTTCATCCTTGGGTATTACAAACATTCACACCAAGTTTCATCAAAATCCGTCAAGAATTGTGCCTTCTAGAGTGATTACGAGCTAAAAATTGAACTCGTTTTCAAGAGCAAGGGCAATAACTCATACTAAATATTTTTCAATTCTTCTGATTTTCAATAGGGTTCATCCTTGGGTGATTACGAACACTCATGCCAAGTTTCGTCAAAATCCATCCAGAATTGTCCCTTCTAGAGTGTTTACGAGCTAAAATTGAACGTGTTTTCAAGAACAAGGGCAATAACCCATACTAAATATTTTTCATTTCTTCTGATGTTCAATAGGGTTCATCCTTGGGTGATTACGAACAATCATACCAAATTTTGTCAAAATCCGTCAAGAATTGTGTCTTGTAGAGTGTTTACGAGCAATTGCGGACGGACGGACGGACAGACGGACATGGGTGGCGGCAATATATGCCCACCATTTCATGTGGAAAGGAAATGGGCTTATTAACAAAACTAATTTAAAAATTAAATTTAAAAATAGTAATTAAAAAAATTGAAATGCAGGTGGATAACGAGGAGCAAGTTTACTCACAGGATGACATAAATAAAAGTAGAGCAAAGAGAGAAATGGTTAATCCAAAGAAATGGCAGAGAAATCATAATGAACAGTTAAGAATGGAAGGCAAGGCATATAAAGGTGTAGCAAAGATAGATGGAAAGAAACAGTATTGTGTTGCAAGAAATGAAAGAATTTTGGGAGCAAGATGTTGCAGTAAAAGTTGTGAGAAGACAAGAAAATGTGGAGAGATTAAAGACAGAAATAGAGGAAATATTCAGATCATTCTGGAACAACGTGGATTGGAAGGAGAAGAAAATTTATGTTGCAAATTTAGTACAAAAGTGTTACACAGCCAGTTCTGTCGCAGAAAACAGTCGACGTAATTTACTTTCAAGTATTTTCAGAAAATTGATCAACAGAGAATAGCTGTTAGTAAATATCTCAGTGGATGATCATGGATTACCTGAAACCGGACAAGATGAACGAATGAGACAGAAAGCACCAGAATCTCTTCAAAACTCTTACGCAAGGCAGTTTCTGATGAAATTAACAAAAATGCCCTCCCATTACTGTTGCGCTTCCACAACCAAACAATATTTGGAAGCTATTTTTACCTCATTTGCCGAACTACATAGAATTTATCATAGAAAACAAAAAGATAAAAGTCTCAACAATAGATATATACAATCAGTGCAAATTTGTCTGTCTATTCAGGCCAGTGCTGTTTATTACAAGACAAAGTTGACCTTGTCATAACTTTACAACACACGACTTGACAACAAAGGATCAAAACTGTTATTTCTGGCTTGAGGGAGAAGGCAGTCTTTCTTCACCTAATTTTGCAACCTTACGTAGAAACCTTGGTGGAACCAGGTATTGAAGAAGTCATTCTATTTAGTGATGGGTGTGGTTACCAAAATCGCAACACATCATTATCTAACTCTTTGTTGTACTCTACCGAAAAAATTATGTCATAATAACTCACAGCCAAATGAAGGTGGACTCAGTCCAAAGTACCCTTGAACGTAAATTTCGTAAAGTGCCAATTTATTCTCCAGCTAAATATGTAGAATTAATGAGACAAGCAAGACCAAGTAAACCTTATATTTTCAATCATTTATCAAGACAATCAGACCTGCAAATCGAGTTCGAGATCCGAGTGTGCATGATTTGAGGGTTTTGAGATACTTACCTTCAGGAATTATTCAGTTCGAACTAAATTTTAAGGATGAGTTTCAGGAATTACCAAGGCGAGGAAATTCAAATATTCCTTCCACAACCGACATAGTCACATCTACTTATGAGAAACCTTTACCAATCATACGATCAAAGATCTATCACCTTCAATAACAAAAGTCAGTAATTCCAGTAGATTACCACGCCTTCTGCAGCCAGCTCCCCTATGAATGACTGTTTGAGCAGAATTCTGCATTCTTTTATATATATATACATTAATTGTTTTCTGGATAACTATTCAAATGTTCCCAGAATACCTGCAAATTAAATAACTTCAAATAATAGAATCTGGTTCTTCTTTCATTTTGGGTGAATCTTTTCTTAGTGTTGAAAAGTAAAAATAACCAAGGAAGACAAGAAATAATGTCTTTATTGAGTCTGTCTTGAATGCACACATGCTTCCTTGCATGAAATCATCACGTTAACAGCCTAAAAGTACCTCAGAAAGCTTAGAAATTCAAAAAAATAAAAAATCTCATAAAACCCTTGTTTGGTAAAATTTATGGAGAGAATTCCTCGTAACTCAAACTTTGGACAAATCTATATGTGCCAAAATCACATAAGTCTTGTAACACAAATACAAATTAAATATGTCTATATACATTTTGATGTAAGAAAAAAACAATCTAATTTAACTTATTTAGGAATAATTTCATGTAAAAGCATTGAAAATATTTTAAAAAATATTTCTTAACTTTCTTACAAGCTTTTTCGCTGCACAACAACGATAGATTCAGTTTAGAATTCCTTTAACATTGCTCTATTTTTCAGAATGAAAAGCAAATGTCAAATTGTAAAAATGCAGCAATACCTGTAGTTTAAATATGTGGATCATTATAACCATAATAACCATTCTACTCTGTCGCATTTAATCTCTATTGAGCATTTTTTTCAATCAAGTCATACTTTCCTGATACAATGAAACGAATGCATGTTTTGTAGGACACTTGATTTCTACAATAGTCTGGTCAATAAATCTATCTGGGCTAGCTGACAAAAAAGGATTTTCTCTACTAACAACAGTTTCTGATGTATATATCTTGCATCGGAGATGCTCCATCAAACCTATGCATGCTCTTGGTTCAGAGACAATTTCATGCCCAGTTGCCTTTAAAGCCTGGATACAGGTGATTTGTTACAAATTTTCTGGATCTGCACGGTCAGTCTTCGGCACTGAAGGAAACCAAAGTTCTGTGTTCTGTTTTGAAGTTTTTTCTGTCAACTGCTCCGTCTTGATGGATATAAACAAACATATTAAGGGTCCTTTATGCATACAACTACATACAGAATGATTGGCTGAAGGATATATTTCATCTGAAGGTTGACAATTTCACTTTTTAAAAGGCAGCAGTATCGCCATCACAACCTGGAGTTGGAAGGGTAGATTACAATGCCTGGGTAGCATCTCTGCCTACTGGTGAAGTACAAACCGCATCATGTACATGCCCAGCTGGCTTAGGGAGGTCCTGTAGTCATGTTTCTGCTATTAAGTACGCAGTGTCTCTTGCGCAAACTCAGGAGACCGTTTTCTGAGGGAATTGACCGTTCTGTTTTTTTGTTACCGGTATTCGTAGGATTAAGGGTAAAATTTGTCCTTGTGGGAGACGCTATTTTGCAAAGGTCGTTGCAATGCCAGGTCTATATTATTGATATTTTGCAGGCTATAATACTGATATAAGCCAGTCAATATCATCGATATGTACTGGTGAATGAAAAAAACGACTACTGTATTACTTTTTTGTATATGTCCTGATTTTTCCCTAAAAATTTTGTGAGGATAAATAAAAGTAGGCGTCATTTTTACTTATTTTTTTAACTGCTATGCAAATAAATCAATGTGCTATTTAGTTATTAACTACATAATTTTATGTATATTTAATATATTATGCAGAACATTCTTGAATATATTCAGCCAACTGTTCAATAAAGAAATCTTCAAAGATATACATTGAATCTATGATGCAAAATGGCACTAATAGTCTAATACTACATATTCCATGCATTATAAAAGCTTATATGTTTATTCAAACAGTAAACACCTTCTGTTTAGAATCAATAAACTTAACTTTCCAGAAAGCTAAGCTAAATAAAATGTTCAAGTAGTGAGCACCATGTTTTAATATATAATTACATGCATAAAACTTGATGATAACTGGTGAATAAAATACCATTGACGATTCTGACTTAAATATATGTTCAAGCCTATATTGTAATAAAAAGTTTCATTTCATGACAATTTATATTTTCATAAGCACAAACTCACAGAACACCAGTGCTGTTCTAAAACTACCTAATTTCTCGCTAACCTATTTTTCGTGCCTCTCCGGAAATGATTAATAATTTACATGTGCGACATATGTGTGTACAATGTCAGCTAGTAAAATGAATCCAGTAGTATCAAGCAAGGTAAAATGTATTAATGTATACTTTGACATAAACAAAATTCCTTATATAATCCTAAGCTGTAATCGGTATTCCAAAAGTCGTCTGCTAGAATATATTCCAGTGAACAATGTCACGTGACAAGCTAGCAAACTAGCGGATTCCGTGTCAGTAGAAAAATTCTATTTTATGTTCTTTTTCATTGACTTTTAGCAGTAAATCACTCCTCTGTTTTACTCAAATTTTCTCAGACAATATTTTTTTTTACATCATTTATCTTTTAAGGAATTGTCATTAGTGAAATATTATTAAAGATAAATACTAAGAAAAATTAATTATATCACTAAGTATCCCTACAACCTGTTTTTCCTGACTTATTTATAGATCTAACATTGTACACGAAAATAGGTGACGCCTTTTGCCGCTGTTGTCGAGTTGGTTAGTCATGGTTATTGGTCAAAGTGAGGGATTCATAAAGAAAATCGAAACATACCAATTTTATTTACTTTATAGCATATCTGAAGAAACATCTAAGACATCTGTTTTTTTTATATTTGACGAAATTCGATGTTGAATCCTTATATCTACGAATATAGGTTACACCACTGTAGGCCTATATTCAAATTAACGATTTTTGAAACAAATTCTAACAGTAAACATGGAGTTGGAGGACTGTTGTGGTCACTTCGTAGGGTTGAAGCAGCTTTGTTTTGTAAATTGGGGACAAACAAAACATTAGTTTTCATTCTGAATAGTAATAAGAATACTCTCAGTCGATAAATAAATATTTTGACGACTGTATCTTTTCATGGTGAACATTTTAAGTGACAAATTACAAATTACAACCCAAAATGACAAAATAATTTTTTTTTCGGTTTTTACAATTCGCATTAGATAAAATTTTGTTTAAACTTATACGCTTTCATAATTTGTCAAAAATGCTGCATTTCAAGAACGTCAACAGATTTCTAAACGACAAATAAAACAGAAAAGCATGAAAATGTCTTACCTGTGCAACGGTAAATCAAATATCAGGACTCCATACTGTTTTAGAACGATCAACAGGTCTTTCTTCTAACTCTGATTATTATTTATTTCTTAATCGAGAACAATTATAATTGATGCATTAGAAATGTTATCAAGTCTCATGTAGTGATATGCACAGTTACTTTTATTGTACCCTATCATTAGAATTATTGAAACAAAACCTGTTCTAAATTGTTTCATACTGTACAAATTTTGGCCAACTGGACCAGTAGCGTATTAAGGTGGACGGCCATTCGGCCATGGCTTACCCCCTGGTGCAGGATCTGAGGTTTTTTTTTAAATCTGTCAATTTACTATATAAGTTCTATTGCAATTATTGAACTTTTTGTGTGAAACTTTTTCAATTTATTTCAATTCTTTCAATTTTTATATCGTTGGTTTGAGCAGCTAGCAATTGCTGCAATTCTTTCAATTTTGTCAATTATTTTAACTATTGAGTGGTAGGTAGCTATTTCTTTCAATTTCTTTCAATTTTTATATTGTTAGTTACAGTAGCTAGTAATTGCTGCAATTTTGTCAATTTTTTCAACTATTGAGAGGTAGGTAGCTATTTCTTTCAATTTCTTGCAATTATTGCAATTTTTATATTGTTAGTTACAGTAGCTAGAAATTGCTGCAATTTTGTCAATTTTTTCAACTATTGAGAGGTAGGTAGCTATTTCTTTCAATTTCTTGCAATTCTTTCAATTTTTATATTGTTGGTTTGAGTAGCTAGCAA